TATATATATATATATATATATGTATACTAAGGGAATCTTCTTCAGGGGTAGATGCTGTGGGGGCAGCGGTGTTACACGAAGACGCGGCTAAGAGAGGCAGTGTCATTACAGGTGAAATAGGAGGGATGCTTATAGCGGTCTATGCGGATTCGGGTGCGACGCCCAATCTAATTACAAAGGAGTTGGTAGATCGGGCTGGTCTGGATGTGACTAGGTACATGGGTCTGCCGTTTGAAGGTGTGGCTGAAATGGGAACGGTTGTGCCCTTAGGGGTGATTAAGGCACCAGTGCAGATGAAGAGCTGGCATGAGCGATTCTTGCAACCTGTTCTGAGGATGCTGGTAGTGGGTTCACTGCCAATGAAGACGGATGTCTTGATAGGTCATGACACCATGGTTAAGGATGGCCTAAACCTGATGTTGAATAACCGCGGTGCAAAATGGAGATCGGATGGACTTTTTGCTGCATGAGGCAATGAGACCTAAATTGGGAACGACAGCAGATTGGCCAAGGAAGCAGGCGTTGGTCAAGCCGGAGACTGTACTGACATCAAGGCAAGAACGGTGGGTGAGGGCTTTGGCACCAAAGTGTCGTCCGTGGAAAGCCAAGGTAGATCGGAATGGTACGCAGGCGAGGTTGCGACGTCAGATGAATATTTTACATGTAACGGGTGCGTTGACTAGTGTGATGCAGAAGCAATATGTGGCAGCGGCTACAGCACACTTTCAGATAATGAAGGAACGTGTTGAGCGGATGCATAAGGAGGATGAGTTGGGTCTGGTTGAGAAGCGTATTTTGCCGAGGATTCCAGATGTGTTAGCACCAGTGGATTTACCGGTGGGTGACATAGACATAGACCCAGGTGGTTTAAATAAGGACTTCCGGTCGTTTGATGAAGGACCGTAAAGGGCGTTGGGCAAGGAGATTGGAGTTCCGCAGGCTGACATTGAAGCCATGGTGGTAGCTATAAAATCTATTGCTTACGATAAAGAGAACCCGACATTTGTCAATTTGCCAGATGTTGAGCTGCGGGTGCGTGCTGATGCGGTACCTCAGTACCATGTGTACAATCACAAGGACATGGATGCTCAGGAGGCTCTGAAGGTTAAGATCGGTGACTGGAATCGGGGTGGTATCTCGGAGAAGTTGACCAAGTCAGAAGTCAAGAATATGAAATGGTGTGCTATGTCACATTGGTCCGTTGACTGTTGATGATTGGCGGCTGTATATTAATTTTAAGAAGACTAACACGCAGTTCGAGTGTGAGGTGTACCCGGTGCCGACAAAGAGGCAATTTTTGTCTTCAGTTAGGGGGCGCAAGTACCATACTATTGTTGATTTTGGTCAGGGTTTCTGTCAGCAGAAGTTGAGTCAAAAGTCACAGCAGTATACCACTTTTTGGACTCCGCGGGGGCCTCACAAGTTCATAGGGATGCCGTATGGATTGAACCCGGCCTCGTGGATCGTGCAGAAGCGCATCGAGTTGTTTTTTGATGAGGTGCCTAATCATGAAGTGTACATTGATGATATTGGTACAGGGCATAATGATGGTCGTGAGCATTGGGATACGCTGGTGATATTTGCGGCGGCTTGTCAGAAGTAAAATGTGAAGTTGTCATTGGCCAAGTCCAGCTTTGCATATCACAAGCAGCCGTTAACGGCTTTGGGCCGGATGGTGGATGAGAATGGTGCGTCGATCTCAGAGAATCGGTTGGAGGTGATTCTGAGGATGCCTAGGCCAACGACGAAGGATCTGTTGAAATCATGGTTTCACACCCTCACGTTTTGACTTGAGTCTATACCGGATTATACGCAGATCACGGCGCCACTGTCTGGCATGTTGAAAGACGATGTGGCTTTTGAGTGGGGTCCGCTTCAGCAGACAGCGTTTGATGCTGTGTTGAAGGGTGTGGCTGAACGTGTAGTCTTGATTGAGCCAGAGTTTTATGATAAGCTGAAGCTCTATTGTGATGCTTGTGATTCTGTGGGTGTGGCTGGGGGGTTGTTTGTTCGGCGCAATAGTGAACTGTGTCCGGTAGGCTTCTGGTCTTCCAAGTTCAGTGCTGCGCAGCTCAACTACCACATTACGGACAAGGAAGCCTTGGCTAATGTGTACATGTTGCACAAGGCTTGGTGGATTGTTCGGCGGTCGGTGTGGTCTATACTGATCATGAGCCGTTAGTAGCTATGATGCAGAAAGAGCCGCATGAGTTTGAAGATTCGGTGCGGGACAGGCGTATGGGTCGGTATGTTCAGGTCTTACGGGACTTTAACTTGGTTTTGAAGCATATTCCGGGTGAAGATAATCCGGTAGCGGATGTGATGTCCCGGTTAGGCTACTATATTGATTCGATTATGCAAGTGGAGTCTCCGCTGATCAAGAAGCGTGTGAGTTTTGCAGATCCCTTGATTACTATACCTGACAGGGAAGAGTATTCGTTGGCGCTCAAGTATTTTGACAAAGCGCTGCAGCGGGTTCGTTTCTTTGATATTGAAGGGTTTGCGTCGCCGGGCAATAATTTGATGGTGCCGTATTACTCGCCCACTTTAGAAGGTGATGTGTTTGCCTTGGAAACTTGGTTAGGTCGGAGTTGGTATATGAATGCTCCGTTCTCCAAGCTGGATGCTGTTGTCCAAAGGGTCAAGTCGGACAGGGCACTGCGACGCTGGTGGTGCCGTATTATCGGGAGACTGCTTGGTTTAAGCAGATGGTACATTTGTTGGCGGATACGCCGATTGTTGTTCCGCCTGCACATGGTGTGTTCTTGAAGTATGGGCGTGAACCCATGCCGCCGCCGCCGTTAGTGACGTTGATCTGCCATTTCAGCCCTCGTTGTGAGAAGTTCACTTTGGCTGAGGGGTTTTGGGCGACGGTGGATGCGCATCGACCTGTGACCAGTGCTTTGGTTGGAGCATTGACGACGCGACCGGATGACTTGGAGTCCTGTATGGTGCAGGATCGAGTGGCTCTGGCAGTGGCTGGTGTGGTTGAGAAGCCTGCCGTTGTGGACGTGACCTCAGGCTGGGGGGTTTTGCCTTAAAACAAGTAGAGCATGTGGTTGGGTCGTGTAAATTCATGACAACCACTGTCATGCCTGGGGAATTGGTGTTGGAGGAGTCTGTGAATCGGGCTGAGCGCGAGTATGAGGCACATCAGGCACGGACGGTTGCTGTCATGACTCGGACGCAGCGGTTGAGGGCCTCTGCAGTTGATGCGGATGTGGCTGCTGGTGAGAAGCCACCGGTTGAGGAGCCGGTGTCGTTGTTGACCAGGGCTCGGGAGCAGTTGGCAGCGTCTGAGGTGGTTAATTCTCATATATTGCCGGTCTTTGGGCCGCGCACAGAGAAGGAGTTTCTCGAAGATGTGCAGTGTGGACTGAATGGTATCGAAGTGGGGGGTCCTGTTGTCATGAGTGTCTTGCGTTACACGCATGAGCTCTTTTCCAATGTCAAATCGGATCGTCTGATACATCTAGTGAAAAAGTTGTGGGGTTGGACTGGCTTGCGTGCGCAGTGTAAGCATGTTAGGCGTAGCTGTGGGCCGCGTCAGGAGGTCTCACCTATTCTCGGGCAGATGTGAGGGCTGCTCCAGCAACCAGAGCGTCCGGATTCAGTTATGGCTGAGATTAGCATGGATTTTGCTCAGTTCCCAACAACGAATGCGGGGGTTATGAAGTATGCCCTTCTGGCGGTAGATACTCTTACGCGTAATATATATATATATATATATATATATATATATATATATGTGTGTGTGTGTGTGTGTGTGTGTCGTGTCGAGATCGTATATAGTATATGTATTAGTTTATAAGTAGTAACGTACTATTAGTTTAGGTTATTAGTAGTCAACGTAATTATTA